GAACGAACACTGCTTCTATGTTTTTTTTTTCTAAGATGTCGCACAAAATCGGAGGATTTTTTATTTTGCCAATTTTCTTACTTTTCACCCAAAGCTTTGAGATCAATAACTGGATATCTTGTAAGATATCCAAAAATAAATCACTTTTTCTTATGCCAAAACCTGAATGGATAACAAAATTTGGTGCGATGATTGCCAAAACTCAACAGTTTCATTCGGCACTTCATAACAGGAGCACATCACGCAGGAAAGTATAGTTCATCTGTTAAACGTTGATAGTCCATATTTTGCGTGGCAACGGGAACGATGAGAGCGAAGGTCAGACGAAAGCGGTACGAACTTGCGAGTGTGTGGTGTAAAGCGGGTCGAAGCGTTCTCCTACAATGATTGAGTAGGCGTTTACCTCCGAGCGTTCCGTTATGAAGTAAAACTTTGCATATCCGCAAAGGAGAACATTTTGTTTTGCTGATAAATTGGTATCAATTAGCTGATCATTTCTCTTCTCTTTTTACATCTTTTTTTCCGTTCTGCCGACTTCAGAGCACGTTCGCTATCTTCTCTGAATACAACATCGCGTCCTCGCTGTATCGCGTATTGCCAACGACACATTGTTATTTTTCACGCTCTCTGTGCTCGAAATATACTGTGTGTCCTGCTCCGATTGCGCCTTCGTTGATTGTTCTCAATGCATAACATATCTCTATTAAAAACGAATTACATCGTACACAGCCACTTTTAGCGTGGACTAGTTTAGTTATATTTTTTTAGTTTCTAATCATTTTCACCTGCGTCTTTTGCTGCTGCCGTCGAAATTTGCTGTACATATTTCTCTCATAAACCTTTTTGAAGTTTCCACTCAACTATCAAATAGTCATGGAAGTCTACTTTGACGAGCAAGGGCAAGTAGAAGAAGTTTTTCTTGTCAACTTGTTTTTTCACAGTTCTTCCTATCATAACCTGGTCAGTTTCTGTTTCACGATGCACCAACACTTCTGTGTTAGCAGTAGTGCAAATTGCATTCTTTTATTGTTCATTGCAGCGCTGGATGCAGGAACAGCTTTTGTGGCCTAAATTTGCACTTAGTAGGCCGTTGTGTTCTGAAGAATCCATGCAAGTTACTGCCTCACCTTATTCAAAAGTTTTTTTTGTTTGATTCGCTGTAGGACATATACTGCAACCACTTTGAATATGCTGGGTATAACTTGACAAAAGTGATGAACCATTTCTTAAAGAAT